ATCACTGGGAAGGTAGAGGTAGGATGATCAGAGTTCAAGAACAGCCTCAGCCACATAAGAGCATATCTCAAAAAGGGGGAGAGGCACCAGCTGTGCTATCCAGAATCTATATCATCACTCTACAAATGCCAGCTTCCTCAGCTCTCAAGGGTCATGAGTTCTAAGATGGGCTATAGGTGGGATGTCCAGTCTAAACAGGTCACAAGTCACTCATCCTGGTGACTTGCTACCAAGTCTCCCCATTTTTAAAATAAAAAGTACAATAAGAAAGAAAGAAAGAAAGAAAGAAAGAAAGAAAGAAAGAAAGAAAGAAGGAAGGAAGGAAGGAAGGAAGGAAGGAAGGAAGGAAGGAAGGAAGGAAGGAAGGAAGGAAGGAAAGAAGGAAAGGAAGAAAAAGAAAAGAAAAGAAAGAAACTGGGGCTCGCGGAGGTTAATTTGCCGTGGGTTAGCCCGAAGGTGGTGTGGTGAAGACAGTCAGTTCAGCCGGCTTTTGCAGCCTGCATTGGTACTGTTGCCCTTTTTCCATTCGGGTCTCTTACTGGGATCCTGGAGTGGCCTTGGAGTCCACCCTGGGGCGGCCAAGGGCCGAAGAAGCTGACACTGGGCTGTGGGGTGATGCCCTCACTGCCCAGATTTTCTGTTGCTCCTGGCAGACTTGCCGTTCTATCTCGGCCATTGGCTATTTATTTTTAATTTGTTATTGCATTTTGTGTGTGTGTGTGTGTGCGTGTGCGTGTGCATGTGTGTGTGTGTGTACACGTGTACACAAGTGCGCACAAGTGAGTGTGCACTCTCACATACACATCACAGTACCTGTGTGGAAGTCAAGACAACTTAATGGGAGTCAGTTTTCTGCAGCATGTAGGGTCCAGGGATGGAACTCAGGCCATCAGATTTGGTGGCAAGTACCTGTAGTGAATCACCTCACTGACTCCTTAGTTTGAGTTCTTGAGATAGCCCGCTATATGGCCAGGGGTGGTCTTGAACTACTGATATTCCTGCCTCCACCTCCCAAATTCTGGGAATATAGGAATATTCTGCTTTCCTTTTTCTTTCTTTCTTTCTGTTTTTTTTTTTTTTTTTTTTTTTTTTTTTAAGAGTGAGTAGTTGACTGTTTCGTATCTGCACGTTTTTCCATTTACTCACTTTGGCAGTAGGCTCCTGGATTGCCTCTACTGTTAGTGAATCCTCCAGCATTATTGTGAATAATGCTGCTGTCAACAGGAGTGTTCAAGACCCTGTTTTCAGGCTTTTGTGTAGATACCCAGACGTGGAATTACTGGTCATTGCAGTAATTCTGTTTCATTTTTTGAAAACAGCCATAATGTTTCTATAGCAGCTGCTTGCCACAGCCATCTACAAAAGTTCCAATTTCACGACCATTTGACTAGATGAGGCGCCATTTACAATTGCATCTGATAGTTAACAGGAGAGGCTCTATGTGAGGACGCGGATGGAACCTGGATCCACCGTACCAGGTGAAGGCACATAGAGGGAGTCCTTTGCTTCTCAGAGCTCACAGGTCCATCAGTTTCCTGCTACTTCCTGCTAGCCCTGGCTTTTAGTCATGGTGGTGTCCTAATAGAGCACCAGAAACTTCTATAAGCCCCTACTTAGAGAAGACTGGGATTTTATATATATATACTACTGGATATGTTTATGCCAGAGGCTTTTTTCCAAATACAAGATTATTCCCTTATGGTGAGTTTCCAGAACTAGTAACTGCTACGTTACATAATAGCTGATATGGCATAAAAGGTTTTCAACAGGGCTGGTAGGAGGCTCCGTGGTTAAGGCAGCACTTGAAAGCCTGATAGTCTGAGTTGGCTCTCCTGCATCCGTGTGCTGGAAGGAGAGAGATGCCTCCTGCAAATCGTTCTTTGATGACCACATTTGTGCCCGAAGTGTAGTTCCTAACACCTCTGCACGCGCATACACACATAGTGAATAAATCTTTTCTCTTTGTTTGTTTTTTGAGATAGGGTTTCTCTATGTAGCTGACTGTATACCTTGCTCTGTAGACTGGGCTGGCCTTGAACTCACAGACATCTGCCTGCCTCTGCCTTGAGTACTGGGATTTAAGGCATGTGCCATCACCACCCAGTTTGTGAATAAATCTTAAAAAAAAAAGTTACCCAGTGGCGGCGGCGGCGGCGGCGGCGGCGGCGGCGGCGGCGCACACCTTTAATCCCAGCACTCAGGAGGCAGAGCCAGGCGGATCTCTGTGAGTTCGAGGCCAGCCTGGGCTACCAAGTGAGTTCCAGGAAAGGCGCAAAGCTACACAGAGAAACCCTGTCTCGAAAAACCAAAAAAACAAAAAAGATTTAAAAAAAAAAAGTTATGCCTATATAGGACACTTGCGGTGAATGGCTCTTCTAGGACTAGAACTTGTTCTGGCTGAGTCGTGAAGGCCCAGGACATTATGATGCACTACTGTAGACTTTATAAACACTGACATGTAGTAGGCCACACTCAATTTCCAAAAACCATTTTTTTCAATAATTAATTAACCTTAAATGACTATGATATTTTTACTTTATAAACTTATTTTTTGCATATGTATGTAGTGTGTATAGTGTGGGTACCTAAGTATATGTGAGTTGGGGAGGCATGAACGTGTGTGTGTGTGTGTGTGTGTGTGTGTGTGTGTGTGTGTGTGTGTGTGTGTATGTGTGTGTGAGAGACAGAGACAGAGACAGAGACAGAGACAGAGAATGTGTCTCATTGCTCTCATGTTTCATCCTAGAAGACATGGAAGACAGCTGTTCCCTTGGAGCAGCTCCGTTCTCTGGTCAGACAAACCCTCTTTGGCAGGAGAAGGAGAAGCCTCTGTATGAAATGGTCCGGACCAAGCCAAGCCCCTTCGGGGAACTTTAAACACTGAATGATCTTGTTGCTTGGCTGTTATTGCCTGCACAGCCTGCTTTGAAAAAGAAATCTGACAGGCCCAGATCATGTGTTTATCCTAAGGCTGGCCCATTCCAAACTCATGTTTCAGAGTGGCGAGGTTTGTCCAGCCGTCCTGGTGGGTGGTAATCAGACACAGGTGGGAGCCATCTGGCTCGCTCTGCCCCTCCTCCTCAGCCAAGTGAGAGCTGGCCTGCCCACCACAGAGCTGGCTTAGAAAGCACCCTGTGTGGAGACAGATGGTGTGCACATGTGTGTGCATGAATGCACACTCATGCATGTGTGTGCCTAGAGCCCTCCTCAGTGAGGAGATGTGGTATGAGCGTAAATGGCTCAGTGGCTTCTCTCTCCACACCCATGGATTCTCTCCATTGTGCGGTCTATAACACATATGTTCCTTTTAGTCTGTTTCTCACGTTTTTGTGGTTAGAAATCATGTGTTTTCCTTGGCCTGAGATGAGAGCCCTGGAACAATGGTCTAATGCACTTTACAAAGCTGTCTCTAATTGGTGGTGCCCTGGTGACCCATCTCCCTGTGTGGAGCTTTGTTTGGTTGATCTCTGAGACAGGGTCTCACTGCGTAGCCCTGGCTAGCCTCGAACTCACTTGGCTCTCTCTCTCCAGTGCTGGCATTAAAGGGTGCTCACCACTGTGCCCCAGCCTTTTCCAGAGCTTTAAGTCAATCTCCTAGAGCTCTGGATTTTCATACTCTTCCAAACCTGAGGCCTCTGGGAGGCAGTGTGTCTCGATCACTAGCTATTCCCGCAGGTTCTGTTCGGTCTTGACCCCAACAGGTCAATTCATCAGGAAACAAATAGTGTAAATAGTGTCACCTTAAGCAATATCTAACCTTGTCTCCAGGAACCCAGGTGTACCCTCTAAATGGATTCTGCATCCACCTGGCAACCAGAAAACTAATCACACCACGCACACTTCCTTGAATGCAGTTGGATTTGACTGTGATGATTCCTGAGGATGCAGCTTCTCAGAGGTGCTCTCTCCCACAGAGGTGCCCCGGGGCTGACCTGCTGGGCCTCCCCAAGCACACAGAGCGGCAGCTGTGGCTCTCGTCAGTGTCTTTCTACCCAGTCTCCCATCCTAGCCTCTTGGGGATGATGACGAAAGATGCGAGGAAGGAGTCCCAGGGTTGAACCCTGATTGTGTCTTCAGCTCTCAAGAGGGAGAAGGAAGGTGTTGGCTGTCATTTTAGTTTATGGTTTGTGTTTGTATGCTGGGGAGTTTACATGTGTATAATCATTGTGGTTCATGTTTGTACAAGATATAATTACTGACAATTACATGTACATATTTTAACTCTTAACCTTTCTCATCCTGGCAAGCTTTGAGGAGCTTTTGTGGACTCCTCCTTGGACACCTCCCTCACCTGAGTAGGTGTGGCATACACACATGCACACACACACACACACACACACCCAACCAGGTTCTGCTCTTGAATAGACATCGCTACCCTCTCTGGCAGTCACCTGTTTCAGGGACTTCCCTGAGACTGCGCTGTTCTCCTTTGGGGTCCAGTGACTGAGGCATGCTCATGGAGGGTTAGAGAGAGTAGTGCTCGCTGACAGGGTGGGTACTGACCTTAGGAAGAGAGTGGGCCCACTCAGTATTTGCAGGCTGCCTCGGGACTTGTCTACAGTGCTGACTTAGGAGACTAGTCAGTGCAGCTAAGAATGGTGTCCCTGGAGGTGGAGAGGAAGAAGGCCACATCTTCCCCGAGCACACAGCCACACCGTTGGATCATAGGACATGTATCCTTAGCAAAATCAATGGGTACTTATTAGCAGTTTGAATAAGTGAGGAACATAAGATTTTCAGTAGTGTTTCTTCTGTCATTTAAAGGGAATGTTCTAGAACCACAAAGTCTGGAACTTATGACTCAAGAGTACCAGTGTAGAAGTTTGGCTGGGCCAACATCATACATGTACACCCTCAGCTCACTGGAGGGTAAAGCAAGCTTTGGAGAGACTTCTTCACCCTGGCATTCCCTTTGAGTTGAGGCGATCCTGTGGAGGCCACCACACAGAGACTTTGTAGACTTTGTCCTGTGGTAGTTAAACTGAAAATGTTTTTTTCAGGTTTACAGGAACAGACGGACCGAGTGGCTTTGGCTTTGAATTGACATTTCGTCTGAAGAGAGAAACTGGGGAGTCCGCCCCACCAACATGGCCAGCGGAGCTGATGCAAGGCCTGGCGCGATACGTCTTCCAGTCAGGTAATAGCCCCGAGGCTGCCTGGTCTGCTGGTCCTGTGCCCATCGGCCTGGTGGGCTTTGGGAGCTTGCAGGTGTATTCTGATGTCTACAGAGTCCTTTCATGGGTGGGAAACTGTGTGGACCTTAGCCGAGACTAGGCCAGTGTCCCAATAACCTAAGGCTTTGTTGCCGTCTCTCATAACTAGCCTGTTCCCTGTTCCCGGTGGCTTGGCCGTCTCTGTGTCTATTTCCAGCCCTCAAGCACATAGGCTAATCTTGGCTCAGCCTGGGAGAATAATAGGGACTGGAACTTGTTCCTTTCCCTCACAGGGTGGAGGGGATGCTAAAATCAGAACTGAGTTAGATTATTCAAATGCCCTAGAGAGGTTGGTTGTCCTTTGCTCCTCGTGCCCACTGGGGACTGCTGCAATGGATCTTGGGTAAGGCCTTTGTGCTGGAAGTGATGCTCTTACTTTCTCAGCTCATTCTGCCAGCCTCCTCCAGCCTGTGAAGGCGCCATAGTCCCGAATAGTTCTCTGTGGCTAGTGTGCAGAGAGTGCAGAGTATTTGTGTGGCCTAGATTTTTCTATCTTTGATTTGGTATGCCCCCCCCCCTTCACTCTTCCTCTCCATCCTTTCCTCAGGATACATGATGGCCTGGACCAGCCTGAGCCCCGCCTCTCAGCCTCCAGATGCTGGGATTACCAGGTCACACCAGAGAGAGAGGGGGGGGAGAGAGAGAGAGAACGAACACATAGGGATTGAATCGGGGGTCTTGTACATAAAGGCAAGAGCTCTGGAACGGACCTGTATCTAGCATACTTTATTCTTTATTTTGACACAGGGTCTCATTAAGTTGTCCAGGCTGACCTTGAACTCACTCTTTAGTCCAATTACAGGCCTCTGCCACCAGGTCTAACTTTGAAAATAGATTTTTTTGTTGTTGTTGTAGAATTTGACCTGCTGTGGGAATGAAGATTCTACTTCTTATTAATATATTCATTTTTGTACCTGCTTAGGTAGATAGAGATAAGGGAAATGTAAAATACATGTTACAAAATACTAATAATGTCTAGTGTGAAGTAATTTTGACATTATAATGCAAATCATTATTTTATTTTGCCTTTTTTGGGGGGAGGAACCACAGAGTCTTATATATAGCCCAATCCTCCTAAACTGGTTAAAATGGATGTCAGGGGCCTGGGGACATGGCTCCATAGGTAAAGGTGCTTGCTACCACCCGGCCACCTGAGTTTGATCCCTGGGGCCCGTATGGTGGGGGAGAGCCAGCTCTCAGGTTGTCCTCTGACCTCCATATGTGTGCTAGGGCATGTGCCCACACACATGTACACACAAATACATGTAGTTAAAAAAATTGTGAGCCGGGCAGCAGTGGCACATGCCTTTAATTCTGGCACTCGGGAGGCAGAGGCAGGTGGATCTGTGTGAGTTCGGAGCCAGCCTGGGCTACAGATCCAGGACAGGTACCAAAACTACACAGAGAAACCCTGTCTCAAAAAAAAAAAAAAAAAAAATGTTAAGGAGCCGGTGAGATGGCTGGGGGGCAGGGTGCCTACTGCCAAGCTTGACCTTGATCCCTGGACCCCGGTGCCGAAGAGAACCAGCTCCTTCAATTGTTCTCTGACCTCCACGTGTGTGCCATGGCGTCCATTTTCATCCTCAGAAATAATGTGTTAAAAAAAAAAAGTTTTTAGGAGACAGGAACTCAAAGAATCACTCTACAGATTCCTTATTTGTTGATAAGAGGAAGAAGAGGGACCAGAGAGATGGCTCAGTGGTTAAGAGCACTGGCTGTTCTTGCAGAGGACCTGAGTCCAGTTCCCAGCACACACAGGGTGGCTCACAACCTCCTTAACTCAAAGTTCCAGGGGATCCAACTCCCTTTTCTAGCCTCCATGGGCTCTGAGAACTCATGGGTGTACAGACATATGCAGGCAAAATACTCATGCACATAAAACAAAAAATAAATACATTTGAGAGACAGAGAGAGACAGAGGGACAGAAGAACTATCCTGACAAAGGAAGATCAGAGCGGATGTCTCCTTTGGAAGGATCAAGTTCGGTGCACTGATCGCCAAGTGTTACTTTGTAACTGTACATGCTGGACACGGACAAGCCAAGTAGGAGAAGGTAGCTGAGGAACACTTTTCCAAACAGGCTGAACCCAGATCCAAGCAAGTTACAGCCAAATGTGGCCACACGGTGGGACATTCTCCAGTGCACCTTCCTAGATTCCTGTACCCAGCGAGGACTGTCGCCAGTTGAAGGAAACTTGGTGGTTTTCCTGCAGTGTTTGATCCTTGATCCAACCCTGGGAGGAAAAGGTCGTTTGTAGGACAGCTGGGAAAAGTGAATGTGATTCTATGTTAGACACTAGCATTGCGCTATAGTGAAGTTCCTTGTGGGTGTGGTATTGTATACGATAATGTCAAAGGCTGAAATGTCTATGGATAAAGTACTAAATGATTCAGCAAAAAAGGAAGGTGTGTGGGAGAAAGCCAGTGTGGAATGTTGTTTGTGGTCAAGCTGGAAGGTGTCCGGATATCCATTTTACGCCTCCTAACTTCCCTAAGGACAGGAAATGTTTGCGCTGAGTCGCGCTCTTGCTCAGGTGTGTGACAGCTGTGTGCTCTCCAGTCCCCTCTGCACCAGTGGCCTCTCACGGCTTCTCCAGCGTCACTGCTGTCACTTGTGCCTGCAGATCACACCAGGAACTTCAGAACAGCGGGGTGACTCCGCTCTTAAAGTTTTCTGGTTTCCGGACTTTCTATGATAGCGTAGTACTATTTAAGTAACAGGTAAACCAGGTAGTGAGTGGTAAATCACACCTGTCATCCTGGCACGGGGGAAACAGAGGCAAGGAGGCCCTGAGCTGAAGGCCAACTGGGGCTGTATAGTGAAATTCTGCCTCACAACAAAACAAAACAAAACCAACCAAATAAATGGTTAAACAAGTCTACTTTAAGTGCTGTTTTGGAACTTGGCAGAGAATAATAGTGAGTTATTGAAACACAGGAAAGTGATGAGGAGCCAGTGGTCCCTGATTTTAGGCTAAGGCCTAAATGGTGGTGAGGACAAGAGCTGTGCCATTAGTGTGCCTGTGTGCCTCTAACACACAAAGGGTAGCACCCAGTTTTGGCTTTTTGCTTTTCTTTTGTTTTATTTTGTGTTTAGAGACAAAATCTCTCTATGTAACCCAGGCTGAGTACTCGACATTCTCCTGCTTTAGTTTCTTGAGTGCTAGGCCACTATATCAGTTTAAGTACTTTTTTTTTTTCTTTTTCATACTGGGGATGGAGCACAGGGCCATGTCAGCCTTACAGTTGCAGAGGACAACATGGAGAAGGTTAGTAACACGTGTAAGATTACAGCTCTCCTAGGTGTGAAGGCAGGATTCGAGCCCAGGCAATGAACGAAGTACGCTTTACCCCGCTAGTGTGCTGACAGGAACTCTGCGGACATCTGGTCTACCTGATGTCCCAGGCTGTGCAGTGAGAAATCTGAAACTCCTCCCTGTGGATAAATGCTGCTCGTTCGCGTGGCCACTCTGCTCTGGGATGGCTTGTCAGGGTTAGACAGGACTAATGCTCAGCAGAGTGACAGTCTGCAGTTCTTGGAAAACAGAGCAGGGTAAAAAAAGCATTTATTCAATCTCCCAAATCCTCTTAAATATGTATCTTTTATTTTTGAAGCCTTTGTGTGTGTGCAACTGCATGTGTGTGGGTGCACATGCGTGTGGAGTTAGAGAACAACTTTGGCTGTAGCTCCTCAGGAGCTATCTGCTGCATATATTTGATGACTTATTTTTATTTTATGCGTACCTATCTGTGAGTGTCTGCATGTATGTTTGTGCGCCACATGTGTGCCTGGTGCCTTCAGAAGTCAGAAGAAGGCATCCGATTTCCTAGAACTAGAGTGACTGTTGTAAGCCACCATGTTGGTGCTAGAAACCAAACCTCAGATGCTGGGATCAAAGATGTATGCTATCATACCTGGCTGTTCCTTGATTTTTATGTAGTTGATTTGGGTACTTGCCTTGGAAGTCCATAGAGTCCGATCTCCCCTGAAGCTGGGAAAGGCTAAAATCATCCTTGAGGTGCCTCTGAGTCTTGATTCCACAGACCCATGTGAACCTATACTCACACCCGATATACAACAGATTATGTAGCTGATTTGGGACTTGCCTTGGGAGCCCTGTTCTAAATGCACTAGAGTCAGTATGGTATAGGGGGGCCGTATAGTAAACTGTGATGCAGACTGTAGTGTGATTAACTGCTCTCAGAGTGGAGCATGCTCAGCTGCTGGTAGAACCTCTCCTTGTGGTTTGTAGCTATCACTAATCTCTGTGTGATACACTCTATCAGGGTCACACATGATCATATTATACAGAACATGTGTGTTCTTTGCTTGATACATCCACAGATACACCTGCATTGTAAATGGCATCAGAATTCTGTCTGGTGGCCTTGCCTCTCTGTTCCGTCCACTCTAAACCCATTAACTTCATACAGAGCGCTCCACCCTCTGCCCCACCCAGCTGCATGTGAGGGCATGCCGAGCAGTACAGTCAAATGAGCGTTGAGACCTGCTTTTCCGGATCCAAGTGCCAGGCGGTTTTAGCACCAGGCCAGTGGCAAGCAAAGGGAAGAGGGATGGACTCTGGTGGGTGTAGAGTGGGGGGCAGCAAGTGTCCACACCGGGCCATCACACCACAGTAGGCAGCCTCTGAAGTTTGCTCTGGAGTGACTCGGCTCTGGCTGACCCATTGGAAGGTTTGCTGAGCGGTCAGAAGCTAAGCCGGAGAGAAGGGGCAGCAGAAACATGACTCGCTAGGGGAAGGAGCTTCCGTAGATGGCAAAGCCTTCCTGACTCTCTTTGGCTCCGGTAACAGGGACATGCAGGGTTTCAGGGGTGACTTGATATGTGTGCTCAGTGTCTGCTGGGTCGTGGTGCTGTGTGCCGGTCTTGTCTTACAGAATGGCATTTATCAGCCAGGAATGGTAACAGTACTAGTCTACTTCCAAGTTCTTATCTGCAGACCCCTAGGTGGAAGATTTTTTTTCTCCCAACACGTCTGTGTTAGTCCTGGGAAGGGATGCTGCTCAGTTCCACCCGGGTCATTTGACCACCATTGTTGGTGGCAGTGGTCCAGGTACAGCACCAGAGTACACGTAAGGTCCCCTTCGCCCCTACTTCTAACCACGGAGAGTGGCGAGGGGATCTCTTAAGCCAGAGGATAACTACTGGTGGAGGAAGTAGGTGTGGCTCTGGCTGGCCAAATCAGTTGTTGATGGGGCAGGAGAGACAGCCCTCAGCTCTGCAGTGGTCGTGGTGTGCACTGGGAAGTCAGTTATTAGGAGAGGTAGAGTTGGAGCGGACTCCTCCTGTTCTGTCTCTTTGCATCTTATGGGATGTCCTGACAAGATGTGACTAGAGTGCCCGATGAGGACACCTTGTGCAGAGTCACCGGGAGAGGAGCTGGTCCCGCCGGGGTTGGCTTTCAGCGCTCTGGCTGAGGACCTCCTCTGTGGTTCGTGCTCTGCCCTCCCAGGACCTGGTTGCCTTTTTCAGCCGGCTCGCTCCTGTTCTGGGGATGGTTGCCATGGCTCATTCATTGCCCCTCGGGTCTACAAACAGTATGATCAGTCTTTCTTTTCCTTTTGAAGACAGGTCTGTAGTATAGCCGCATGGAGGGACCAGAACCTTCTGTGCCGTCTACCAAAAGAGCAAGCTGTTAGAAAGCAGGGCCAGCCACTCATTGGTCTCCTGCTCCTTCCCCTTATATTTGTCAGTTTCTGTTGCTGTGACAGAGACTTGACAGAGTCACCTGGAGAGAGGAATGGTCTGCTTCTGCTTCGGTCTCCCAGAGGAAGGGAGATGGAGCAGGAACATGGGACACCTTGTTCTCGAGAAACAGCTGTAGGCTAGGACCAGAGGCCACCTAACCCTAAAGGCCCATTCCTCGCCTCCTCTTGCTACCAGCTGGGGACGGTTCACACACAGACGCCAAGGGGACATTCACTCTCGGGTAGCATCAAAGATGATGTACACAGCCAGGAGCCCCTCACTGGAACCAGAACACCGTGGTGTTTGGAGCCTCCGGCCATCACAGTTGTGAGCCTAATAAACCTCTGTGCGGTCCAGGTTATCTAGCCTCGGGTATTTTGCTATAACAACACAAAGAGACTAAGGCGGCAGCAGGGGACAGGCACCAGATGGCCAGAACAGTATCTGCCACTCTTCCCTGCCTGGGGTCAGAGAAACCTTGCCTACTGGTCAGGGCCTGGGACAGTACAGAAGTCCTCAGGAAAGAGAGACTGTTCAGTCACAGGACAGGGCAGCTGTCATTTCACCTGCTCCTGCAGATTTTGAGTCCTCTGGCAGAGTCCTCTGGAATGTCCTGGAAGGTTTTTATGGTGCACACATCAGTACTCATGAATAGACATTTAAATGTCTGTCTTCCCTATTTTGCAGCTAGGTTCTCTTCCTTCCCGTTCACTTTTAACTGTTTGATCAGCCTGTTCTTTCTTCTCAGATGGCCAGTGACAGCTCTCCTTGCCCTGCCCTCTGGGTTTCATTAGGAGGAAGCCCCACCCCCACCCCCACCCCGTCCAGTTCTGCAGGACCTGATTCCTGAGCTGTGCTTTAGATTCCACAGGAGAGGGCGTCTGCTCGCAGTTCAGTCACCGGTGGGTCATAACCAAAGCTTGCAGGCCAGTTTCACTTGCGTTCTTAGGAAAAACACAGTCCCTTCGCTTGTCACCAACACAGCCCGCTGCTGTCTGATGGCAGCCTCGTGACAGTGCAGCCTCGACAGGGACCTTTTCCTGAGCTGCCGTCGGGGAGAGGGACCCATCGAACTGTCTGTGGTCCTGATAGACTGGCACCACACGGTTGGTTTTTAATCATTTCTTCACTGTATTTATAAATGAAGTTACAGCAGCCAGGGCGTGGCAGGCACATACCTGTAACCCCAGCACTTGGGAAGTGGAGGCAGAAGATTCGGGAGATCATCCTTGCTATATAGTGAGTTCAAAGCCAGACTGGGCTACATGAGACCCTATCTCAAAATAAAATAGAGTTGTTTGCTGGGCAGTGGTAGTGCATGCTTTAAATCCCAGAACTGGGAGGCAAAGGCAGGTGGATCTCTTGAGTTCAAGGACAGCCAGATCTACGCAGAGATACCTTGTCTCAGAAAAAAAAGCAAAAAGACAATAAATAGTTGTTGATTTTAAAACTCAAACAGATATGACCTTCAGAATTCTCTGAGGCTCAGCAGCCCCGTGCATGTGCCTCCAAGAATGTCTGATGAGCCCTGCTTCACATGCTGTGGCCTCTTGAGTCTCCAAGGCTCCGAGGGAGGGAGGAGCAGGTGGAAATGAGCGGTTTCTCCTCCTTTGGGTTACTGTACTTGTGTGCCTGCTGTGTGCTGGGGCTCTAAAGATGCTGGGGAAGCCAAGGTGAGAGAAACAGGATCCCATCCCAAGGTGGAGACAAGCTGGAAGATGGAGTGGATGAGAACTGGTTCTGTAGATAGAGAAGAGGGCCAAAGAGCTCCAGAAACGTTGAGGCGGTGGCGTGTTCTAGATCACAGGGTCGGTGAAGGACAGACTGGAGGCAAGAGGGAAGAGAGAGCCATTTTTGGCAGAGGGAAACAACAACATGTGTGAGCCCCTGGAGGGGGGAAAGAGCCTTCCTCAGCCAGCTGAGAGGGAGAAGAAAGGCGCAGGCTGCATGGCTGGAGGTGCGGCCTGGATGGGAAAGTGCTAGGCCTCAGGCAAGTCAGCCTGAGTCTGGATCCGATTCTGGGCAGTGGAAAGCTACAAACGCCTTTTAAGGAGAGACGGGGCAAAGGAGGAGTTTGGAGACGGAAAACCTTGCTCCTTTTAGTGAGATGTGCTTGGATTTGAGGTAGCCGCATTTTGATTTATTTTTAAACATTTTCTTTTCTGTGTATGAGTATTTTGCTATGTTTGTAAGTGCATCTCATGCTTGCTGAGTACCCTAGAGGCCAGAAGAAGGTGTCAGATCCTCTGGACTGGAGTTACATATGGTTGTGAGCTGCCATGTGAGTGCTGGAAACAACCTAGGTCTCTGGAAGAGCAGCCGGCGCTCTTAACCACTGGGCCATCTCTCCAGCCCTGTCCCTGCGTTTGAGAGTGGTTCTCCCCAGAAGGTGATGAGGCAGTTCAAGGTTAAAGCCAAGCCATCACTGCAGATGGCTTGCTCTGTCATCCTTGTCCTTGGGAACCTTAGTTCTGGGAAATCCTTCCCCCAAACTCTAACCACTGAGGCTCTCAGCCTCCCCTCTCTCTAGGTCTTGTGGTTCTCACCATACCTGTGTTC